TTTCACTAGTTTAAAATTGTCCAAAGAGTTCATAGGTAAAGACTTCAAGAGGGGAAAACCACCAAGGATGCCTCAATTCTTATAAAATCAGAAACTAGAGAGCTTCAGGAAGTGACTTCAAATTATAGAAATGCAACTTCCTAGGACATTCTAGAAGTTCACATGATTTAAAGGCTCTCAAAAATGCAAAACATCTCTAAGATGTATGTACAGGCAATACGTAGCTTTCTACAGTGTGAAGAAAAAAGAAACTACTAAATATCCAAATTAAGGAAAATGGTTAAATAAATTATGGTTCATAAAATTGTATTTATGAAGAGTCTTTAATGATCTGGCAAATCGTTTATGAGAATGTTTATCAATAAAAGCAGACTCTTGCAGTAGACCTGTTTGGGGGACTGCTGTCCAGCCCATGCTTTGGAAATTGTCCCCTCCTCCTTTTACAAGGGTGAGCCTAAGTGGTCACTACTGTTACAAAAACCTGTGTCTCCTAACACAGCTGACTGAACAAAAGGGAGCATCTGACCCATGCTGAGCCAATCAGATACTCCGTATTTGTATTAAGCTTCAGTCTGGTTCCAGAATACAAAAGTAAGAGTTTGGCCAAAATCAGAACTACAATAGTCCAAAGTCAAGAGAAATGGGGGAGCAGAAACTGAGACCCTTGCAGGAGAAACCAGCCTCAGCACGGAAAATGGAACAGAATTGCAAAGAGAAGCAGAGACAAAAGACCACACAGCTCCCAAGAAACAAAGACAAAAAAGCCTAGGGCTTTCCAGATCCCAGGAGGTTCGTTCCCCTTCCAGCAACTGGGTTCCAAGAGACTCCTTACAATCATTTTTCTTAAACTTTTTTAAGAGAGTTTCTGTTCCTAACAAATTAATTCTTGACAGATATGAAATTATGCAAAGAAGAAAAAGCATTAACAAAAATGTCAAATATTAATAGCACTTGTTTCTCAATATAATTATGAGTGATGCTTCTAGTGTTCATAATTTTCTTTCTTGCCAAGTTTTCAACAATGAGCATATTATTACTCAATCAGGGAAAAATTCTGAATAAATGAGGCAATTCTGGATTCAGATAATTAAGGCTTTACTACATAATCAGGTAATTTCAGAGCTAGAAGTGATATAAAGTATATAAAATCCAGAGGATTTCAAACCTTGTTCCAGAGGACACTGGGATTCTGTGGTGATGTTTCAGGGCCACTTCAAAGGAAAAGGAAGAAGCTGAGCATACCTCCTATAGTCAACACATTTTACAGTCTCTTTCCAACTTAAAAGATACCCTTCCCTATCCCCTTTACTTGAGAATAGGACCAAACAGACATTTTATGCAACATGGACCACTCCCCTAACCACACAGGTCTTCAGCTCATTGTTTGCCCCAAACCAGGCCTGAATACATTCCTCTGGTGTGTCTCATTAAAGTGGCTGAAAAGCACAACTTGTCCACCATAAAGATTATAGAAGCAGAGGATAGAAGTTGCAGGGAGCATTATCCCAAATATGGGATTTATGAACAAATCCCATAAAACAAGAGCATAAGTCAGAGGCTTCCCAGTTCCAGGCTCAGCCATTTCATGAAGCCCCACTAGGTTTGTACCTTGGAGACATTGGAAAATCTGTTGCCTTACAGCAAGTTCCTTTTCTGCTTGAGCTATAGCTTAGTTTCTGCTGTCTGCAACCAAATATACACAACATAGGCCCCATCTCAACCAAGTCAGCCACTGAGGTCCTATATTAGATTTTTATTTATACAGGGAAAAAAAGTTTCCCTGCTTTAAAATAAAAGTACTGATTCTACTTCAACTTCATATTACTACTGAGAAAATGAAGGTTCAAAGGCCTCATGTTTACAATCAAGTTAAGGATTCTCTCCACTGAAAATTAAAAAGGTGGGGGGGGATACTTGGGTGGCTCAGTCAGTTAAGCATCAGACTCTTGCTTTCTGCTGAGGTCATGATCTCACAGTTTGTGAGATCAAGCCCTGTGTCAGGTTCTGCATGGTTGGCATGGAGCCTGCTTGGGATCTCTCTCCCTCCCTCTCCCCCACTCTCTCTCTGAAAATAAATATTAAAAAAAAAAAGGATTTCAATACTTCCCAAATACACACTGACATAGGTCTGAGTCATAGGTACTGTTCCAAATGTTTCACCAACATTATCTAATTATCACAGCAATGCCATGATGCAGATTGTTAACAGAGAAGTGTAAGGCAAGCTAATATGCCCCAAATCGCAGACTCAAACCTAGGCAGTCCAGCTCTGGAGTCTGAGTCCTTGATCGATGTCCTCTATATGTTGTCTCTTTGTTAAGGATTTAAGCTTAACTAAGTGGCACTGTTTATGCATTTGTAAATGGTACTTTCTGTCATGGCACAACAGATTCTTACATCTCTTTCAACTGTACAATTCAAAGATGGTGATGTCACAGGTTGCTTCTAGGACTAAGTTTTTACCTATTCTTTAATTTTTACCTACTCTTTAATTGATTTCCCTTTTGAGTCTTCATGGTTGTGCATCATAGGAATTAGGGCTGGAACTACTATATTCACTTCTCCTACATGATTCTACGTTCACTTTCTTGTCCTATTTTTGGCCTGGATATGGTCATAATACACAAGTGAACTACATTTCTCAACTATTTCATTATATTCATTACTAATTTGTGTTCCTTTTTCTTCTTTTAAAAGTGGCAAGGTGCAATATTCTACATTTCTTAGGAAAACAAAACAAAATTGTGTTGCAATTCATTTAATGTATTTATCTTTCTTTGGATCCTTTATTAGAGAATTTTCCCCACCCTCATCCTATGCCTTCTAAAATCAGTGATTCTTGGGGCACCTGGATGGCTCAGTCAGTTAAGCGTCCAACTTTGGCTCTCATCATGATCTTGTGGTTCGTGAGTTTGAGCTCTGCGTCAGGCTCTGTGCCGACAACTCAAGAGCCTGGAGCCTGCTTCGGATTGTGTGTCTCTCTCTCTCCCTCCCACTCCCCCACTCGCACTGTCTCTCTCTCTCTCTCTCTCTCTCTCTCTCTCTGTCAAAAATAAATAAACATTAAAAACGTTTTTTTATAAAATGAGTGATTCTTAATCTGGGGACAATGAAATAGAAGATGCACAGATGACCCCCAGATAGTCCACAGAAGCATATACCTAATTTTGTATCAGTAAGCATTTTTGTAATGGAGTTCATATTTTTTTTAATTTAAAAAAATTTTTTAATGTCCATTTATTTTTGAGATAGAGACAGAGCATGAATGAGGGAGGGTCAGAGAGAGAGCAGAATCTGAAGCAGGCTCCAGGCTCTGAGCTGTCAGCACAGAGCCCGACATGGGGCTCGAACCCACAGACTGTGAGATCATGACCTGAGCTGAAGTCAGATGCTTAACCGACTGAGCCACCCAGGCGCCCCTGGAGTTCATATTTTTTAAAAGGTCCAGGATGCAAAAAAAGAACCACTGACCTAAAGAAAACTCTGTTGAGTAGCATATCCCATTGGAAATGAAATTCAAAATAAGTCCTTTAATTCACATTTTTGTAGCACTTCAATTACGCTAAATGTTGCTTATTTGGTCAAAAAAAATCCTTAAAAATAATGTCCCAAATGACGAGAGTCCACGAGGATCTCATTTAGCTATTTTAAAATGCAATCAACTATAACAACCCAATCCTACACTTTCTGGTTAAATTGTATTTTGCTACACATACAACTTCAGGTTAACATGTCAATCAATGTAAACAATAGATGACTTCTAAATCTCTGAAGTCTTTGGAAACTGTTGTTTCTGTCATAGTAAGATACAGAATTGTTCATGTATCCGCTCATTCTATCAACAAGTATGTATGGAACACCACTATGTGCCAGGCATGGCATTTGGCCCTATCTCCTGCTGTGATTAATTCTTGGTTCCCCTCTAAATTGTAGTCTAAACCTACAAATACAGGTTGAAGCATTTGGTTCATATTTGGATGCCCAGCAACCAGCATAATGCCTAGATCTTAGTGGAAACTTAATGTGTGTATTGAACTGTGTAATGATAAAACAGAGAAGATAGGCTGAATACAAAAGCAGTAGCTTTGCTTTAAGAAAAACCTCCCTGGCCAATTTTCATAGCCAACTCATTCCACTAAAGTCTGAATGAGATGGTTTGTTAAAATCTGCCATCGTCACCAAAACAAACAGACAAAAATTTTCTAAACATACCTCCTTCTGATAACGTTTTCCTTGTACACAAAAACAAGCAATGTCTTATGCTACAAAAGGGATCCTAAACAATGTCAAGAATAAATAACACTGGAAGGCCTTTCAATAAGGTGACATATAAATGGAAAACTTGACAGATTCACAAGCAAAGGATTTTCCCTATGTTCATCTTGATAGTAGCTTTCAAGCCAACTGTTTCAGAAGCAACATCAAGAAAAAACAGTAAAGGGGGAAAAAAACACAAATAATAGAAATGAGGAACAAAAGGGGGAAATGGAGAAAATCCTGCTGAAATAAGCATTTCGGCTCAAGTTGGGTGGTCTAAAGTAACTATAAGAGTTACTGGCAATGACCGAAACGTCTAGGGAGTCTAAAAAAAGTTGGCTGTGTGAGGTTTGGCTATTATAGTTCACCCTATGTCAGGGGCATTGTTCGTTTCTTCAAAAAGTCGCCAACATCCTGCCTGCAGCCTTCTCGGGGTGCCGCTACCCATTTTAGTCACTCCTGTGACACCGGGTTAAAAACACAAACAAACAAAAACGAACCTCAGCAAGTATTTAGGAGGGGCCTAGAAAGAACTTTTCACCCCTAGCCGCAGCCCACGATCCTCCCACGGGAACTGCCAATGGACCGCAGCCCGGCCGACCGGCGGAGGGACGGCCAGCCACGCCCGGATGCGCGGCGGCCGGGGTCCAGACCCGTCGGCCCGTGGGCCACACGCCCTGCTGGAGCCGCCCGGGAGCGGGAACCCGAACGAGGCGCGGGGGCAAGGTGCGGCCGGGCCTCACCTCCACGGCTTGGCCCAGCTCCAGGTCGAAGCCCACCACACACACGCAGTGCAGCCAGGCCGAGAAGCCGTCCCAGCGCAGCAGGCCCCGGCCGCGGCCCTCATCTTCTTCATCGTCCTCCGGCGCGCCTCCCGTCGCCAGCACGGCCGGCGCCCCGCGCTCCTCGGCCGCCGCCACGGCCTCGTCCAACGGCCCGCGGGAGCTGGGCCCCGAGGCTGCCAGGCCCCGCAGAGCCATCCGCCGCCCCCTTGCTGTTCGCGCCGCCTCCACTGCGGACCGCGCAGCAGAGCGCGCCCAGCCCCGCGCAGGCGCAGCCGCTGCTGCCGCAGCGGCGGAGGACGGGCTCGGCCGGGGCGGGGCCATGGCCCACGTGACCCTGGGAGCTGGGCTCGGAGCTGCCACCGCGCAGACGTGGAGTCGTAGTGCTTAGCTGGAATTGTGAATACCGCCCTGGCATTCTTGCCTTAAAGCTCTTCAAGAGTAGTTTATGAATCCTGACACTCTTCTTCGCAGTTCAACGATCTGGGGAGGAATTATGCTTGGCATGACAAGGTTCATAACTATAAGGTATTATTAAAATTATTACACATAATGATTACGGTGGCTAACATTTACTGAACACTTACTCTGTGCCAGTTGATGTGCCAGCAAGTACTTTACAAACATTACTCCATTGAATCTTCACATCATGACTAGTAGGTAGACTTCATTATTTATTTCTTTTCACGAATAAGGAAATTGAGATTCTGAGAAGTTACATGACTAGACCAACAAGTATTACTACAACTCAAATGCTGGCTTTCAGTTCGCTCTCTGCTCTCTCGCCTCCTGATTAAGAGATCTGTTCACTTAACTGTTCCCTTTCACCAAGGTCCCACCCACCTTTCTTGGCCTGGTTGCCTGTGACTCATTCAACACTCACACAACATCTGCAGTGCTTTCTGAAACACCAGGTTGGCCTCCACAGCAACCTGTGGGATCACTCTCTCTTAGCAAGGGTCTAGTCTCAGGCAGCTTTATTGTTGTTTAGATTTTATTTTTAAGTAATCTCTACACTGGACATGGGCTCAAACTCACAACCCTGAGATCAAGAGTTGCATGCTTTAGGGACTGAGCCAGCCAGGCACCCCAAGCCGCTTTGCATCCGTGCCAAGAAGGCACTTGATCTATTGAATTATTACTGATTATTGGCCCAGTGGGATACTACTGATTAGGATTTATTCAGCACCCTGAGTATAAACAGCACAGTGAAAGTAAATAGGAAACACACAATACTCTAATAGAAAAATGAGTAAAAGACAATGGATAATAACTCACAACAAACATTTTTAAAAAACAACAGCACGGTTTTCATGCTTTTACACACATTATCTCATCTGATCCTCCTAGCAACCCAAAAGGGCAGGTCTTATTATTATTCCCATTTTTCCAGTAAGGATTCTGAGGCTCCATGAGATGATAATGATGTCACAGCCAATAATAGGTGGCAGAACAAAGATTTAAACCCAGATCTCTGACTCAGCCAAAGCTCCTAAGCATTTTGCTGCACTACCCAGTCAAATCTACCCTAGTTGACAAACATTGTTCTGTATACATTCTTATGATTTTTATTTAGAGTGTTAGCATCAATACTTCAAGGAAAGGGTCAACTATCATCAGACATCAATAGTGATGTTTGCTAAAGACTATTTTTAGGAAGTAAGATGAACTAGGGACAGCATTCAAGTTAAAAGCCAACTTTGTGGCCAAATCAATCTGCCCTCCTACTCTAGAGAACCACTGTAGTTAAAAGAGAAAAACAATGTTCTGCATTTAAGTAAGTCTCTAAACCCACTATTAGGAAAGCACAGTAGCCTTTATTATTAAAAACAGAATTACAAAGAGCACTGGACTAGCAGTCAGAAGTTCTGGATTCTAGTGCCAGCTCCACCCATGATCATGGTAGGCAAGCTGCTCTAAGACTCAGTTTCTGCATTGATGAAATAAGAATGATCAGTCCCAGCCTACTCACCTCACTGATTGTGGGGAAGAGCCAAGCTATCTCAACACACACATTTTACTGGGTGCTACCACATTATTAATGATTAATAAGCTCTAAACACCAGTTGTTCCACAGGGCTGGTTCTTTGACATGTGGACACAGGCTGCCATTCCCTGAAATTCTGCTTCATAATTTGAATTAAAAGTAACTGCAAAATATAGTATCCTGAAAACAACATACTTAGAAGACTGTAAGTTTGTTGAGAAAGAAAGCACACCAGGGCTCTAAAGAATCTTAAAGGTAGAAAAAATAATCATTTGGTTAGCTTTGGAAAAAACTAACCAACACTACAAAACTTTTTTTTTTAATATTTATATATTTTTGAGAGAGAGAGGCAGAGCACAAATGGGGGAGGGACAGAGAGAGAGGGAGACACCAAACTGGAAGCAGGCTTCAGGCTCTGTGCTGACAGCTCAGAGCCCCCAACACGGGGCTCAAACTCACAAATGGAGAGATCATGACCTGAGCCAAAGCTGCATGCTTAACTGACTGAGCCACCCAGGCGCCCCTAACAAACACTACTAAATTTTTTTTCACAAAATCCACAACCACTAGGAAAACAGAATGTTCCTATGGTTTTCTTTTTTCACCCTTGTAGCTTTGATTTTTGGCCTTAGCTCCAATTTTAACCTAGTTTCTGTGGCGAAGACTTATATGGGTGCTAGGGCAAAAGTACTAATAATACTTCCTTTCTTCTTAAGGTTCTGTCATTAGAACTTTGAATCTGAAAGGATCTTGGATCAGCTCATCTCTCCAAACTTCTCATCCTATTCATGAATCTTCTGATGTTTGGTCAGCCAGCTGCCATTCCAACACCCCGTATTAAGGTAAAGTATCTTGCAAAGCTGCTATGTTCTGGGTGTTTATAAGGGCTAGGAAATTCTTCCTTTTATGGAGACAAGATCAGCCACTTTGTAATGTATACCCTTTGGTCTAAGTTGTGCTTGCTGAGATTACACAGAAGTGTTCAACTCTTCTACACAATAGCCCTCCATATATTTGAAAATGGTTATCTCACATCCACATGTCTTCTAGTTTCCAGGGTAAACTACCCCAGTTCCTCCTACTATTGCACAAAGGATGTAGTTTGTAGGCCATTCATCAACCTGTTACACAACTGGGGCATACTCCAATTTATCGACATCACTCTTAGAATGTGGTGCCCAGGAGGAAACACCATCCTCCAGGTGTGATGTGACTACTGCCGAGTGTACTCTGGGACTATTACCTTACTTGTCCCAGCCACCAGCCTTCTATTAATGCTGGTTCAGATCACATTTGCTTCTTTTGGCAGCCAGGTCATATCGCTGGCTCAGGTTGCATTCACTGTCAACTAATGTGAGGAGTACGTAAGTCAGGGTAGGCTGCTTTAGCCAAGAGTATGACTGTATTCATGGCTCTGCTGCTCTTCTAATATTACCAACAACACTGAGGACAGGATTAAAAACATTCCAAACTTCCCTATTTACCCAACCAAACTCTTGGCATTTCAGCAATTTTATAGTTAAAAAAAAAAAAAAAAAAAAAAAGAAAGAAAGAAAGAAAGAAAAAGAAAAAGAAGAAGAAGAAAGAAAAAAATGAAAAGAAAGCGTGAGCTTTAGATAATGGTGTAAATTGCAATGCCAAATATCTGGACTTAATTTTACTAAAAGGGAGGGAGCCCAAATGCCCCAGATATCCACCTACGTAGGCAGCTAGAGGACTTCCCTCTTGCTTTTGAGCTAAATACTGCTGCAGCTGCCACAGGATAATTCCACTTGTGGTGGTAAGAAAATACACGGAGAAATACACAGAGGCTCAAGTGCCAGTGTGTTACCGACGGAGAATGGAGTTTATTGCCACACATCTCTGGGAGACAAAATGCTTAACTGCAGGTTTATAAAGGAGAATCCAGGCAAAGAAGACAAAGAAATACACTGTTGGGTGCTTCCTAAATAGTATTTATGAAAGCTTAAAAAGAAGATGAAGAGCTTTTGGCTTTCATCTTTACATTCCCAATATCTCTATGATGTCTTGTATATGACAGGCACTCAGTAAATATTTACTGAATGGATGAATGCACTTTAAAAAATCTCTAATTGATCATCTCCTATTTTAGAGTTTTCCTTTCATGGTCAGTTGTAGGAACACATGAAAAGTTAATATGAAAATGTTTCTTTTTTTAATTTATTTTATATATTTGCTTTGAGAGAGAGAATGAGCTGGAGAGGGGCAGAAAGAGAGACAGAGAGAGAATCCCAAGCAGGCTCCACACTGCCAGCATGGAGCCCACTGCGGGGCTTAAACTCACGAACTGCAAGATCATGACCTGAGCCTGAATCTAGAGTTGGACGCTTAACTGCCTGAGCCACGCAGGTGCCCCAATATAAAAATGTTTTTTTAAATGTGGCTTCCTCTTAGTTTATGAGAAGCAAAGATAGTAACACCTCACTTATTTGAAAATTTAACTGCCTGACCCAGTTTGTACCAGGAGACAGGTTCGGAGGCCTATTAGCAGTCAACATGCAAATCAGAAAAGGTAACCCGTAAATTTCATGCTCTTTAATCAGAGGTGTGAGGCCTTCACTTGCAAATTATTTTGTCTAAATTCACACATAATTCTAAAGATATGCTTGTCTGGCTTCCCAGGCAGGGTAAGCAGCAAATAAGGAAAGTGGGGAGGCTTGAGGCTGAGCATGAAAAGAACAGAAAACAAAAGGCTGCAGGTTAATAGAATGGAAAGAAAAGGAAAAAAGGAATCAGAGAACAGAGGAGTTCAGAAGGACATAGTGAACTGTTAATAGTGGTTGCTTCATGGGGAATAGGAATGGTGGGAAATAGAAGCACTGGTGAATAGAAATGAGGAACTTTGCTTTCTATTTTACACAAGTCTGTATTGTTTTAGTTATTGAGAGAGAGCATATATTGCTTTGTAACTAAACATTAAGAAATAACAAGAGTGTAATAAGAGTTGCTTACAATAGTGAAAAAATGGAAACCACCTAAATGTCCAACAATAGGGGATTGACTGAAAAATATCCTATATCCAGTCAACAGACTATTATACAGTCATTTAAAATGTCATAGAAGAATATTTTGTAGCATAAAGATGTTCAACATACATATTTTAAGTAAAAAAGTAGATCACAAAATAACATATAGTGAATAATCCTGTTTTAATGGACTATATGCAAAAAAAAAAAGGCACTAGGAATGATACAAAATATCTTGATGTAGAAATTTTTTGTTTGGAATTAAACATTTTATTCTTC